AAAACCCGGGGGCTCAAAGGCTGGTTTGCAGCAACACCCTCTGCTAACAAGAAAGGGAAGGTTAGCTTGGTGCATCTGAGTATTTTCTATGTGGAAAGAGCAGTTTTTTGTTATTTTTATACCTCCTGGCGCCTAAGCATCCATATGGTACGTCTGAAACAGGGGTGGTTTGTTGGGTAATTTTATAAGCCATTTTCATTGACTTATAAAACTGTTTTACATAAATATCATCGTCTCTACAGAAAAAAAAAGAACACAGAAAATCCCCACGCTTTATTTACATTCCACCAAATTCCCTTCAAATCTTAATCAGTACATGGACATACCTTTTATATAGTTGTCAGAGTTTGCGCCTGCTGTTTTCATTTTCTATTTATACACTCTTATGTGAAAGCGTAATCTTGTGTCTCCTCTACCCTCAACACTCGCTTTACTTCTGACACTGCTGGCCACCACGTGTGGAGGGGGGGCTGGAGGAGTGGGGTGGTCTTCTCAAGCAATCCTGCGACACCAGCTGGGTGTCCTACAATGTAACTCAATTCGGACTCCATCTACCCGGAGACAGCATCAGATCCCCCAGGCTAAGGGCTCAGTCCTACAAGACTGACCCTCACTTCAGATGCCAATCAAAGGTCCAGGTTATTACCTGTGATTTTGACGACCTGGTATAAATCAGAGGTTCCCGTGACCCCCTCCTTGGGCTTGATTAATCTGTTAGAGTGGCTCACAGAACTCAGGAAAAGTTTACTTACTCGATTACTGGCTTATTACAAAGGATATCAAAGGATACGAATGAACAGCCATATGAAGAGATGCATAGCACGAGGTCCAGAAGGGTCCTGACCACAGAAGCTTCTGTGCCACCCTCCCAGCACATGGATGTATCCTTATTTGCCAACCGGGAGGCTCTCTGAATCCTACCCTTTGGGGTTTTTTATGGAGGCTTCCTTATATAGGGCACGACTGATTAAATCTTGACCATTGATTGATTCAACCTCCAGCCTCTCTCCCCTCTCTGGAGGTTGTTCAGGGAGGGCTGCACTGAAAGTTCCAACCCTCTAATCACTTGGCTGGTCTGGCAACTAGCTCCCATCCTTAGGTTACCTAGCGGCTTTCCAAAAATCACCCCATTAACATAAACTCAGGTGTGGTTGAAAGGGGTTTGTTGTGAATCACAGAAGACACTCATTTCACTTTTATCACTCTGACGCTATCTTAGGAACTGAGGATAAAAACCAAATATTATAATTAAAGATAACCCTATGGCTCTAATCACTTAGGAATTACAGGGTTTGGGGAGCTGTGAGCCAGAAACCTTGGATGAGGGCCAAAATACATATTTCTTATGTATCTCCACAGATGGAAACACTTGAGTGTTTACATGTCTGGTGCATCTGTTATGAAGCACAATTGGCTAGGCCATTCTCTATCGCTTGGAATTGTGGTCATTTCTAGCTTTTACATGCAGAATATGACTCGATAATCCCTTTGCCCAGTGCGGCACCTTAGATGACCAGCTCCTGGTTTGCCCAAGGAATAAATCAAGGCCAGTGGGTCAGGCAGGTTCTGGACTGGGAGCTAGGGGACCTCTGCCTTTACCTGGGCATGTTTCCCCACCTCCCCGGGCTTACACTCTGTGGATGTAAGATCCGGGGTTGACCTGAAGGTCTCTGAGTTGCATCCAGCTCAGCAGAAGGAGGGTCAGGGATTCTGGTCATGGGAGCTTCCACTGCTCAGGGCATGAATTGACTCGGCAGCAAACAAACCACCACATGGCCTTCTTTGAACCTTCCTCTCCATCAGCAATTCCCGTCTGCCTGTCCTCCAGAATATATCCCAAATCTGATCACTTCCCTCCTTTTCCACTGCCACCCCCTGTTCCACACCTCCCTCCTACCTGGGCTCCCTTGATCTGTTCTTCTCAGCCAGCCACAGTGGTCTATTTTTTTTGGCCACACTGCGCAGCTTGCAGATTCTTAGTTCCCTGACCAGGGATTGAACCCACGTCCTCAGCAGTGAAAGTGCAGAGTCCTAACCACTGGACTGCCAGGGAACTGCCCAGAGTGGTCTGTTAAAAACATAGGTCAGATCAGGCCATTGCTTTTCTTAAACCCTCCCATGATTTTCCATGGTTCTTGAAATGAAATCTGAACTCCTCACTCTGACCTCTAAGACCTCACAAGATCTGACCGCTGCCTGATTCTGACCTCATGCTGTCCACTCTGCCCTCTACCCCCACTCTGGTCCACGATACTGGCCTTATGGGCTTTCCCTCCAACCAGAATGCTCCCCAGCCCCAGCCTCTCCCACACCTGCCTGCTTGTCTTTTAGATCTCAGCTCACCTGTCTTCTCCCAGCAGCTGGTCCTTGCCCTTCCCTCCTTTTCTGAAGGAGCCCCTACCCTCCCACAGATAATGATCAAAGACAGCATGTTATTTCCTTTGTAGAAGTTTTCACAGACTGTCTTTCTCTTGTGTTACCATCTTTTGTGCTTGGGTATCAGCTGTCCTCACAGCCCCACTGGAAGGTGAGGTCTACTGGCTGGGGCAGGGCCCCCACTGACTCTGCCCCACCTTGCAGAGTGCCTGGCCTGTAGTGAACATTCAGGAGGACTTAATGAATAAATAAACTGAGAGATGAAGGTTACCTAGAGCCTTTTTATGCCTCTGCCTCACTGAGCTTGGCTTGTGTGTCTGACCCTGGTCAATTCCTTATGGGGGAGGCTGGTGAGAGGAAGAGTTGTTACCGAACTGAACCCGGGTCTGCTCAGTTGACACCAGCAAAGCCAATCTACTGGGTTGTGGTGAAGGAAAGTACAGTGTTTATTGCAGGGCATCAAGCAAGGAGAATGGGCGGCTAGTACTCAAAAGACCTGAACTACCCTGGCCTTCAGGCAAGGGTTTTGAAAGTAGCATTAGGGGTAGGGCTGCAGGGTACATGATCAGCTCATGGACATTCTTCTGATTGGCTGCTGGTGAGGTGATGTTTTTCAAGTCTCAGTCATCAGCCTTCTGGTTCCAAGCAGTCTGAGGTCTGTGTCCCTGTGGTCAGCATGTAGTCACCATGCTCCAGCAGGTGAGACGAGGTCTTAGTTTCTGTGGGACAACTGAAGGATATGTGTCAGATTGTTACCTATATCCCTTCAGGAGGAACTAGGGGTCCTTTGACTCCATTTTCTAATCATGAACTGCTTGAGTCTGCTCTTTGGAGCCCAGGGAAGAGGCCAAACAAGAAGTGGGGGACACGGACGGACTTGCACCAGGGAAGGCCCTACAGGGTCCTGTTTGGTTTCAGAGTTTCATTCCCGAATCCCTCATGGCAGGTGTGTGCAAAGCCATTCTGACATGGCAGGTGTCCTATGGCTTGGTTGGCCTGGGTTAAGGGAGAAAGCAGAAGGTGGGGTAGAGCCATGGATGACAGAAGGCTGAAGACCACTGAATTCCTCAGAGGGGGACCTAACAGAGATGCTAGGTCCCCTTTGTGTTGGTGTGTCTACCTCCCCAGCGCCTACCACTTAGCATAATAATTCTTCCATTTATCTAGACTTTTATAAGCATTATCGCATTTTTAATTCTCACCACAACTATACTGAGGGAAGTATACTGTCTTCATCCAACTGAAAGAAACTGAGTCTCAGAGAGGTTAAAAACAACAACAAAAAACCTGCTCCTGGGCTTCCCTGGTGGCACAGTGGTTGAGAGTCCGCCTGCCGATGCAGGGGACATGGGTTTGTGCCCCGGTCCGGGAAGATCCCACATGCTGTGGAGCGGCTAGGCCCGTGAGCCATGGCCACTGAGCCTGCGCGTCCGGAGCCTGTGCTCCGCAACGGGAGAGGCCACAACAGTGAGAGGCCCGCGTACCGCCAAAAAAAACCCTGCTCCTGCCTTGCAATTAGTAAGCAACTGAGTCAGAATTGGAACTTGAGACCATCCGACTACAGAGCCCTTGACCCCATGCACAACCCGGCAAGAGCTTCTGGAAGTATCTTGAAGTGGTCTCATAGATCTCGGGTCTCAGGACCAGAGCATCTCCCACGGGACCCTCTCTGCCTTCTGCCTTCCTTCACAGCCTCTGCTTTGTGGACAGATCTGCGTCTCCCACCACAGAGAAGCTCTTTGAAGCCAAGGATTGTGTCTCATGTATTTGGTGAGAAGTAGAATCACAGGCTGCTCTCACTTTCCAGGACAAACTCATGCCCTGGGGCTGCTCTCGCCTTCTGAGATGGACAGCATTCTGCCTTTGGAATGTGTATCTCTCTCAGTAAACCTTTCACTTAAAAAAAAAAAAAAAGTAGAATCACAGAATTACACTTTTTTTTATTGATGTACCGTTGATATACAATATTATATAAGTTACAGGTGTACAATATAGTGAGTAACAGAATTTCACTTCTTAATCAATCCTTGTTAATAAACACCACCTGAGTTGCCTGTTAAAACACAGTGGGCTCTCTCTGTTTTCAGCCAACTTGGGAGGAAGTTACCAAGGCTTTGACAGCATCTCACAGGCACCAGTGACAAAGCATTAGGCCCCAAACCAAACACTTTCTAGAAATAATTTGAAAACACAATGGGGAAACCTGGCTGTACTCTTGATTCTGTCACTCCCCTGCTGTGTGGGCCTCAGTTTCCTGTTTGTAAACGGGGAGATCCCCTAAGAGACCCCCTAAGATCTCTTCTCTCTTTTTATAAATATTAATTGAGGGCCCATTGTGTGCCCGGGATAGAGTGCTGGGCTCCAGGGATCCAGCCGTAAACCAGTCTGATGCCGGAAACTGCCGGATTCTGCAGGGCGGAGTTTTTGACATTTGCTAGCTGGCAAACCTCCTGGTGTAACATTCCGTGATTGTCTAGACCCCAACCTCCCCGCAAAGCCTTCAATCAAATTAGCACAATCCCACTTAATTAAGACCCGTGTGCGGCGGCGGCGGCGGCAGCGGGCTCTGAGGCAGCGGTTGGGCTCGCCGCGAGTGAACGGGGTCGAGTCTGCCTTCGCGCGAGCTGGAATCGAAGCCTCTTAAAATGTCAGATGATTTGGGCTTCGAGACCGGAGATGCGGGGGCCTCAGCCACCCTCCCGATGCAGCGCTCAGCTTTACGTAAGAATGGCTTTGTGGTGCCCAAAGGCCGGCCATGTAAGATTGTGGAGAGGTCAGCCTCCAAGACTGGCCAGCACGGTCATGCCAAGGTCCATCTGGTTGGTCTTGACATCTATACTGGGAAGAAATATGAAGATATCTGCCTGTCAACTCATAATATGGATGTCCCCAGCATCAAAAGGAACGATTTCCAGCTGATTGGCATCCAGGATGGGTATCTATCACTGCTCCAAGACAGCGGGGAGGTGCGAGAGGACCTCCGTCTGCCTGAGGGAGATCTTGGCAAGGAGGTTGAGCAGAAGTACGGCGGTGGAGAAGAGATATTGATCACGGTGCTGTCTGCCACGACAGGGGACGCAGCTGCTGCAATCAAGGCCATGGCCAAATAACTGGCTCCCAGGGTGGCTGTGGTGGCAGCAGTGATCCTCCAGCCTGCAGAGGCCCCCTCCCCGAGCCTGGCCCAGCTCTGGCCCGGCCCTTGGCTGGACTCCTCCCACACAATTTATTTGACATTTTATTTTGGTTTCCCCTACACCCTCAATCTGCCGGGGAGCCCCTGCCCTTCACCCTGCTCCCTTGGCCAGGAGTGAGTGAACCACGGCCTTGGTGAAGCTGCCCCTCCTCTTCTCCGCTCGCACTACAGCCCTGGTAGGGGAGACCGGGCGGGTGCTGCTTGTGGTTTAGGTTTGTTTTGTCTTGTTTTGTTTTTTAATTCAATCTGGAATCAGAAAGCTGTGGATTCTGTGCCCTTCCCCCACTCATCCCTGGTCTGGTCCCTTATTCCCCAATAGCCCTTTTTCCCAAGCACCACCCCCACAGACTGGGGACCAGCCCCCTCCCCTGCCTATGTCTCTCCCCAAATCCCTTTAGATGGGAAGGGAAGAGGAGGAGAGGGGAGGGGACCTGCCCCCTCCTCAGGCATCTGGGAGGGCCCTGCCCCCATGGGCTTCACCCTTTCCTGTGGGCTCTCTCCCCGACACATTTGTTAAAAATCAAACCTGAATAAAACTACAAGTTTAATATGAAAAAAGAAAAAGAGAAGTCTCACTTTCTCTTCCTGTTTCCCGTCACGGCGCAGGATCAAGGGGAGAAGGAGAACCCCATGCGGGAACTTCGCATCCGCAAGCTCTGCCTCAACATTTGTGTGGGGGAGAGTGGAGACAGGCTGACCCGGGCAGCCAAGGTGCTGGAGCAGCTCACAGGCCAGACTCCTGTGTCCTCCAAAGCTAGATACACTGTCAGATCCTTTGGCATCAGAAGAAATGAAAAAGTTGCTGTCCATTGCACAGTCCGTGGGGCCAAGGCAGAAGAAATCCTGGAGAAAGGTCTGAAGGTGCGAGAGTATGAGTTAAGAAAAAATAACTTCTCAGACACTGGAAACTTTGGCTTTGGGATCCAAGAACACATCGATCTGGGGATCAAATATGACCCAAGCATTGGTATCTACGGCCTGGACTTCTGTGTGGTGCTGGGTAGGCCAGGTTTCAGCATCGTAGACAAGAAGCACAGGACAGGCTGCATTGGGGCCAAACACAGAATCAGCAAAGAGGAGGCCATGCGCTGGTTCCAGCAGAAGTATGATGGGATCATCCTTCCTGGCAAATAAATTCCCGTTTCTATCCAAAAGGCTAATAAAAAGTTTTCAGTGAAATGTAAAAAAAAAAAAAAGTTGCAGTGGTTAAGAATCCGCCTGCCAATGCAGGGGACACGGGTTCGAGCCCTGGCCTGGGAAGATCCCACACGCCGCAGAGCAACTAAGCCCGTGCGCCACAACTACTGAGCCTGCGTTCTAGAGCCCATGAGCCCCAACTATTGAGCCCGTGTGCTGCAACTACTGAAGCCCACGTGCCTAGAGCCTGTGCTCCGCAACAAAGAGAAGACACCGCAATGAGAAGCCCGCGCGCCGCAGGGAAGAGTAGCCCCTGCTCACTGCAACTACAGAAAGCCCGCGCACAGCAACGAAGACCCAGTGCAGCCAAAAAAGAAAAGGCCATAAATATAATAAATTAAAAAAAAAAAAAGACACCTACACAAACCCCCTGCAGCTCACACCCGGCCTGGTTTATTTGTAAGGCCCCTTCTCCCCTTCTGCCCTGGCAGAAGTCTGACCTGGGAGACGTGGCCTTGGTGCGCTGAGCGCCTGGGGGTGGGCGTGGGTGTGCCAGAACTGGAATCTCAAGAAGGACCCAGGCCAGGAGAAGCGCGAGGACACTGCGGTGAGGCGCCGCCCAGCCAGCGTCCCGAGCCTGGCGCCCCCAGGACGGCCCCCGAGGCAGGGACCGTGGGGGCAAGTCGGCCCCTCCCCGGGATCACCTGCACGGGGCGGGGCGGAGCCGGGGGCGGGATCCCGGACGGCCGGAGCTGGGGCTGCTGTGGTGGCGCCGGCGGGAGGCGGAGCGGGCGGCGGCCGGAGCGCAGGGCTCCCCCGAGCAGGTAGGAGGCGCGGGACGCCGGGGACGCCGGGTCTGCGGGGGGCACGGGCGGCCCGGCTCAGGCGCAGCGGCTCGCTGTCTACCTGCCGCGCTCCGCGGAGGGGTGACGGGAGAGGGAGAGTGAGGAGTTCCCAGTCCCACCCCCACCTGCCTTGGAAGGGGTGCCTGGGGTCTGCGCGCGAGGGCGGTGGGTGGTGGCCGGGGTGGAGGGAGGGATATCGGTCACCTTTTGCGGGTTTTGGAAATGGGGGTGGGGCATAAGTACAGGTGCCCGGAGTGCCGAGCAAGCTCGACCCTCGCGGAGAAGTGCCCCGAGCGCCAGCCTGCGTTTGGGGGGGTTGATATTACGGGCATCCAGCAGGCAGGTCGTTTCCTTGTCCCACCTCTCTCACCAAGCCTCCGGCTGAGGGTCCGAGACTCCCCGGAAGAAAAGGGAGCGGACTCGGCCAGCCAGGAGGTAAAGGGATTTTGAACCACTCAGGACCTGTGTTGGCTTCATCTGTGAAATGCGCGTCTGGATGGGTGAGCCCTGTGCGGAGACCCCTCCAGGAGGAAGATCTGCGATGAAAACCCACAGCAGGGGGAGGAAACCAGTGTTCTAGCTCAGATCAGCAAACTCAGCAGCTCCGGGGTGGCTCACTGGACTAGCTGCTCCAGAGGAAAGAGGTGGGGACACGTTCTGTGGGCTGGATATCTGGCAGGAGGAGGACATGGGTGTGTCAAATACTAGAGCAGGCTTAGAGGGACCAAGGAAGCCATCTAGTCTGGGACGAGGATCTGGAGGGGTGCTTGGAGGAGGTGGGATTGAGTAGGGATGGGGAAGAAAGCATAGTGCTGGTGCTTTAGAATCAGTCAACCTGGGCATTGGAATCCCTGCCTTGCCCCTTAGGTGCCAATAACTTAGTCTTGGGCAGGACCCTGCATTTCTCTACAGTTCCCTTTGCTCCGTAAGTGAAACAATTTCTTTGACAGAGTGTCAGGTTGTCCACATAAAGTGCTTAGTACAAGGTCTGTATGTTATAGGCACTCCGTAAATATAAGCTGTTAATTTCCACTAGACTGTAGCTTCTTTTTTTTAATACATAAATTTATTTATTCATTCATTTATTTAATTTTTGGCTGTACTGGGTCTTCGTTGCTGCATGCCGGTTTTCTCTAGTTGCTGAGAGTGGGGGCTACTCTTTGTTGCCATGGCTTCTCTGTTGCGGAGCACGGGCTCTAGGTGCGCAGGCTTCAGTAGTTGTGGCACGTGGGCTCAGTAGCTGTGGTGCGTGGGCTTAGTTTCTCCGCGGCATGTGGGATCTTCCCGGACCAGGGCCTGAACCTGTGTCCCCTGCATTGGCAGGCGAATTCTTAACCACTGCGCCACCAGGGAAGCCCTAGGCTGTAGCTTCTTGGGGGCAGGGGCCATGTCTATTTGGTTCACCATTATATGGTGCCTGGCATATAGTAGGTCTCACTACATATTGGTTGAATGAATGAACAATGAATGAGTATGTAGTACAACAGTTGGCATGTGGTAAGTAGTCAATAAATAGCTGTGACTTTAGAGATGATCAGATCCTAACAGATGGGATGATGTAGGAGACGGTTGTTTAGGTGGATGGAGCAGTGTAACAGATTAAGATAAGCCCAGAGTAACAGATTTGGGGCACCCCCTCTTATGGGGGGCAGGGGAGTAATATGATAAGCTCATCCAGAGCACAGAGGTAGGGAGGGCACACAAAATCCTGGAATCCTGAGTCCCAGCAGCCACATGGGCGTAGATGAAGGAGCTGGAACTCTAGGTAGGTCAAATACCTTTCTCACATCCTCTAAGTGTCCACCTCCAAATTACAGGGGTAAGGGGCGGCGGGTGGGCAGGGCGGGGGGGAAGACACAGCAAAGGACTGTGGGTACCTGATGGGAACAGAAGATGAAAAGGGAAAGGGACTCCCATGGCCCCTTCGTGGGGGTGGGACATTCCTCACCTTGTCCTGCTGTCTCCTGGCTGGTGGTGAGGTAGCTGAAGGGGGCAGTGTGGTGCCAGGTGGGCCAACTATGTGTGTGCTGAGCCAGGCTCACAGTGAGTTGGGCTAGGGGAACGTGTTGGGTCTCTGGGGGAATCTGCTGCAGTGGATTCAAAGCTTATCCCCGTGGCCGGTTTGCACACCTTTTATCACCCCTGTGGACAGTGGCCACTGATGCCTCGGGCTGGGAGGGAGCTATGTACTTGAGGTGGAGCCACTCTTAGCAAAGTTAGCCTGTCTGACTAACTTTGTTAGTTAGCCTGTTAGTAAAGTTAGCTTGTCAGCCTGTCTGACATCCTGGCAGGCAGCCTCATTGGGTTTCCATCTCCCTGTGGTGACTAGGAGTCCGTGAGAAGCAAAGATCTGAAGTGGAGGTGAGAGATTTGGGGGAACACATCAAGAGGAGATGGGAGGCACTGTATTCCTCAAAAGAGCCGAGTTCAAAGCTTCTCCTTGTAGCACTTTCCATAATTGCTCATAATCATTTAATGTCTGTGTTTCCCACCGACTGTAAACTCTATGGGAACAGGAAGCAAGCCTGCCTCCTTCCTTGCTGCATCCCCACCTACGACAGTGTCTGGCACGTGGTAGGCATTCAGTGAATGTCTGTGGAATGCACAAACCTGGGCTGAGGACTGGGGCTCTTGGCGTTGAGAGACGAGAGCACCCCCTGACAGAACTGATGTAAGCACCACAAGTTCTTTTTCCCCTGTCTGATCCCTACCTCACAGCTTGAAGGGTACGTCCCCCTGTCACAGGTTCTGTGCCTCCACCCTCTCTCCTGCCACCATCAGCGTCTTTTCTCAGGGAAGAATCCACTACTAGTAGACATTTACACCTCGGGGGAAGGCCTAGGCACTGTGCTGCTGCTCCCAGCCCTACTGCCCTTGACAGTCAGCCCCCCGGAGACCCCCAGGGCTTTGAGAGGAGGAAAGCAACATCCAGGCTGATCCCCATCCCATTGCTCCTGGGGCTCAGGGTCACAGAAGGTAGGAGCTACAGAGACCCTTAAAGGTAACAGAGGGCTCCCTCCATTTAAAGGTGAGAAGACGGGTCCAGAGAGGATGAGATACACTCGGTCAATGGAGGGTTAGGGGAGACCTCAAGTCTCCTAATCCAAGTGCTTTGTCACTAGAGTGGGCTTTGAGAGTCTCTGGGAATTGTAAATCCTGCAACATTTCTCTTTACTTTCCAATCTTCCAATAAAATGGAATGGAAGGTTAAAAAAAGGATGGTAAAGTGGATTTAAGTTGCCCAATAAACCCTTTTAATTAAAAAAAAACAACAAAAAACCTCATATGATGAAAATAGACCCCAAATTATGTATGTTCACTTTACTTTTCAAAAGATGTATGTTTGATATTGGAGAAAAGTAATCTAAAATAGGAACCTCTCTAAACTAGGCTAAGTATTGCTGGCCAGCAGTGCCTGTGTCAAGATGCCCCCTGCACGCTGCCATGCGAGAGCCTCTGAAGGCAGCCCAGAAGCAGCGGCGTGTTTGTTTCTCCTGGACAACCTCCGAGCGCTGAGCACACTGCCCTGTTGGGCTCCCCATCTCCATCCATCTGGCCTCCTGATGCAGTCATTGACATCTGGGCTTCTGGCATCCCACTCTTTGCTTTGGGATCTGGTAGGGTGGATCCCTCTTTGCCTTCTTTCAGAGGAATTCCTTATCAGGAGGAAAGATCCTCGGTGGGCAGGAGGGGGCAGGAAGAGGGGGAGGGGACTGTGCCAAGGCAAGAGCCTGCCAGCAGGTCTCTGGATTCCTGAGCAGGGCTGGGTGTAGGTAAGAGTTGAGGGGGTAGGGCCAGTGGCAGCTGGGCTGGAACCTATCATGTGGTTTGAAACTCCTGGGGGTGCTGGCTGCAGTTTGGCCTAAGGAAGGAAAAGAGGGTGTGCCAGCCTCTAAGACAGAGAGGCCTGTTCTTCAGCCAGCTTCCAGGCCTGTTGTGAGGGGCCTCCTGCCTGGGCCAGATACTCCTGAGCTGTTGGGGCCCTCAGTGGGGCTGCCAGATCCTATGGTACGTCCCGGGCAGCTTCAGGAGGTGGAGGGGACGGTCTTAGAAGCTCCTGGCATCTCAAGGAGCCGTGCAGACCCTGGACGGCCAGCACACCTCGCTCCATCCAGGGCAGCCTCAGCCAGCAGTGAGGATGGGGCACAGAGCAGGCACATAGGCCTCTGCTTTTGAGCTGTGGGATCTTGGTCAAGC